GGTCAATGTATCTGTCGTTGTACCAGTACCAGGCTGTTTTGACTACTGTAGCTGTATAGTAGGTTCGCATAATGCTCTTTTAAGAACTATATATATGGAATCAAATTGACAACAGCAACTCAAAAGATTAGATAGGAACCTTAAGGGGCAGTGAGTTCATGTTAATGGGGGGAGGAACAACTCAGAGAAGGAGGGTGAGAATGGTTGCACAACTCAATGTCACTGAATTATACATGCAGAAACTGTTGAATTGGTATATGATTTGCTGTGTATATTCTCAACAACAAAATAAAGTTAAAAGAAAAAAAAAGGAATCCCAGATACAGCAAAGCTATCTTGCAAAGATGAAAGCAAAATAAAGACATTCCCAGATAAACAAAAACTGAGAAAATCTGTTGCCAGCAGATCTGCTTTACAAGAAGTACTAAAGGGAGTTCTTTAGGCTGAAGGCAAGTAAATCCAGACAATAAGTTGAAGCCACACACACTAAAAAAAAGGAAAGTAAAAATAATTGTTTAATTATAAAACACAATATAAATGCATATTTCTTCTAGTAACTGATTTAACACGCAACTGTGTAAAACAAATGTGTATACTGTATTGTTTGGCCTATAACATAGAGAAATGTAGTATATTTGCCAATAACAGCACAAAGCAGATGGGTGGGAGCAAAGCTGTAGTGGGCTAAGGAAGTGACTCAAGATAGTTAACTCAAATCCATAGGAACAAATGAAAAGAACCAAAAATGATAAACTAGAAGGTTAACATAACAAAAGCTATAAATACATACTTTGTTTCCTTCTCAGCTTCTTTTAAAGATATATGCTTATATAAAATAATAATAATGCACTTGGCAGTATGTATAACAATACCACAAGATATCAAACTTCTACAATTTAACAATAAAAAGACAACTCAGTCAAAAAATGAGCAAAGAGCTTGAACAGACAGTTCATGAAAGAAGATATTTAAATGGCCAACAAGCACATGAAAAGATGTTCAACATCATTAACCATTAGGGAGCTGTAAATCAAAACCACAATGAGATACCACCTCATCCCCATTAGAATGGTAACGATTAAAATAAAACAAAACAAAACAACAAGGAAAAAAATGGAAAACAACAAGCACTGGCAAGACTGTGAAGAAACTGGAACCCTCATCCACTGCTGGTGAGAACGTAAAATAGTGTAGCCACCGTGGAAAACTTTGGCGGTTCCTCAAAAAGTTGAACATAGACAAAGGACCACTTACTGTATGATTCCATTAATATGAAATGTGCAGAATAGGCAAATCTACAGAGACAGAAAGATTAGTGGTTGCCTAGGGCTGGAGGGGATGTTCAGGTGGGAAGGTAAGACATACAGGCCTTTCTTCTAGGAAAATGAAAATGTTCTAAAATTGATTGTGGTGATGGATGCACAACTCTGCAAATGTACTAAAAGCCACTGAATTTGTACACTATAGATGGGTGAATTGCGGGATACATGAATTATATCTCAATAAAGCTGCTTAAAAAAAATAAAAAGTTGAACAAAGAACTACCATATGACCCAGCAATCCCAATCCTAGGTTTATACCCAGGAGTGAAAGCAGGAACACTAACAGAAACCTGCATACCAACGTTCACTGGAGCACTTTTCACAACAGCCAAAATGTCATCAACAGCTGAACGGATCAACAAAATGAGGTATATACATACAATGGAATATTATGCAGCTGTAAAGAGAAACGAAGTTCTGATGCCTGCCACAACATGATGAATCTTAAAAACACGATGCTGAGTGAAATAAGCCAGTCGCCCTAGGACAAATACTATATGATCTCACTTATATGAAATAAGCACATATATAAAAAACCAGAGATTATTAATGGTTACCAAGGGTGGGACGGAGGTAGAAAAGAGGAGTTTTTGTTTGTGGGGCACTGAGTTTATGTTAATGGTGGCAGAATATTTTGGAAAAGGATAGCAATAATAATGGCACAACACAAAAAATGAAATCAACGTCACTGAACTGTAAATGTGGAAGTTGCTGTATTGGTGAATGTTTTGGTGTGTACTATTTTTACCACAATAAAAAAAATAATATTAATCTGGGGAAACTACAATAATCAAGGCAATATGGTACTGTCATAAGGACAGACATATAGATCAATGGAATCAAACTGATAGTTGAGAAATAAACTCTAAAATTTATAGTCAATTTTTGACAAGGGTG